AGCCTACATACGGCGGTTTAAACCCGACCTATGTAAACAACTGGAGCATGTGATGAACCTCACTCTGCCGTGGTAACACCGGCTCCCTGTTTACATATTTCCCTCCCATATTTTTGTCTTCGACGTTTTTCCCCCAGTTTTTGCTACCCACAGCGTTTTAACTTTCTAACTTTATTAATTACCTCTTGGCCATTTCCTGTGACGTTGCTGTTTTGTATCGATTTTTCTGTATGAATCCAATCTTTTATTATCTCTTACGTTATTCACGTTATGCAATGAGAGGAAGCAACTGATAACCACTCTCGAAATTAATGGATCCAATTAATTTTGCTGTTTAAAAAATCTTCAAAATTGCACCAGGGAAAAAAATACTTTAAACTTCGGAAACATCTTGAGATTGTCTTGTTATCGGAGCCAGGTGGATGCTAGTGGATCAAATGAGGAAGATGCCTCGCAAGTCCGCTTCACTATAAAAAATACACGCGCCTACCACTGTGGCGCGGTCAACTTCATCGCTTGAGATGGCTTGATTTTCATTGCCTTAAAAGACGCTGATTCGACTGACCACTTCTAGAGCCACTATTAATGCTTGTGCAAGTGAAAAGTGAATGGCTCCGTTAGGTCTCCTTTGACTTACTGTTAAAACTCTCAGCTAGGTAATTCTGCAGTCACACAGATGCTTATCATAATTGAGATCAAGGGCTTGGGAAGTGCAGCGACCTTAGTTATCTCCTGAACATTTTAAAGCCTTTCAGCGCATAAAGAAAACTCTGAAGTGCGTAAGACGTCAAAAAACGTAAGTGTTCGTCAGAAACCCTAAAAGGTTATGTCTCTTCAGGAATTCCGGACAAGGAGGACGAAGACGCAAACGGTGATGGTATCCCTGATTGCCGTGCGGACACCTCTGACCTGCAGTTCGTCATGCGATATGGCACGAAGAAGAAGTCCCTTGACACTGACATGGATGGCATTCCCGACGACGTCGACCTCGATGATGACAATAATGGAATACCCGATATCCTTGAGGATCGTAATGGCGACCAGATTCCTGACTTCTTGGAGGAGGTGATCGACGAATGTAAGTGAATTATCTCCCCCCATTCCCCACCTCGATTATGCAAATACTGTAGAAACGTTGGCAAATTGTTTGCTTTTTTGAGTCAATGCTTCTGGCCTGCCTTAGTCATGTTTGAATATAATCTAACATCCAAAATTTATCATCATCATCATCATCATCATCATCATCATCATTATCATCATCATCCTCTCATCTTCCGAAAAGACTAACCGGATCAGTTAGTGACTCCGCAGCCAAAGCCTAATTTATTGCATGCGCATCCCCAATGTCACCTTACACCAAACACCCTACCTGTTATTACTCCAAATACTACATTTATGATCTTCTTTCCGGTGACCGTCATAGTTAGGTAAAACAAAACTAAACTCCAAAAAAGGAACCTTAAAGCCAAGCAGTACAACAACAACTACTACTAATAACGGCGAGGGCTCTTCTGCATTCAAATACTCAACATTAACAGGTTACTTGTGGAGCAAGTAGCCAAATGTCACCCATCTGCATTTAACTTCGGTACCTGCCCTCAGCTTTCAGTTGGCGGAAAGCGCTAACCTCTGTACCGTCCATTGCAGATCTACAATGCGAACCCAACATACAGTGCAGTAAGTTTAAAGAGCTGTCACATTCTCCTGTTCTCCTCTTGTTGTGCTGTTGCTGTAGGCCAGTACTGCTAACCTGCCCCTCCCTCTGACCCCACGTCTGGCCTCGATCAATGCTTCGATCGAGCTGCTTCTGCGCTTTTGATACGCGCGTTTTGTACTGTGCCAAGTCAACGTTTCGCAAAGCATCGTTTGGTGCAGGAAAAGCATGCCTACACTAATAACAACAACAACCAGTAAGCCAACGCTCAATGTCGCCCAGTCTGCGAAGCGGGCTCGGTGCTCCTTTATATGTCTCAGTTTTGGGGGAGTTTCAGTGGACTCGTGCTAGAAGGTAAGTTTTCAGTTTAAGCCCTGAGAGTGCCTGCGATACAATCAGATCCAAAGATTGCTAGGTAGGAAAATTTTATTTGTCCAACCCCGTTTCAATCCTGTCCGTACTAACAACTGTTTGAATGGGGCTAGGAATCTTGCATACTACGCTATGCAAAAGCCAGTGAGCTCTTTGTCTGTTTCGATTTAAAACAATTGTCCAGTTGGCATGCGATTAAAAGCATGAAGGTTACGCGACCTGACAAATGTGTGGAGGTATATTTGAGCGCAGGGGAAAGAGTTGAGTTCTGCTGGTTCTTCAAGCACCAACTTTTTGTAATTTTGCCGTTTTGGACTATGCTAAAACGTAGGCATAGTCCGTTAAAACGGGAACTGCAAATCATCAGAAATAACGCGTCGCGGATGGATATATCCAGATTTATACAAATGCTGCACTTATCTTTGGTATTATTTGCGACTCTGCAGATCGCATTTTACTGTATGTCGGTAATCGGGTAAAGTACAGCTAGCATATCGCTATCATGGATTGTAATGATATATCAATTACTAATGTGCAATGTATACTAAAATGGCCTTAAGTCGTACAATCATCCTGTAATTAGCTCCCCGAGGCCGTGACAGACCCTACTATCCGTGTCTGCAAGCCGCAGTCAATTATTTTGGATGATTAGGTGGCGTTGGACGTTTAGTAACATTTGGCCGCATTAATTTGCCCTTGATCCAAAAGTTCCATCGGTGTAGTTAAATGCGGAGAAATCCTAAACTAATAAATTTGCAGTGTGCATGTACTATGAATTAAGTTACATAAATTCATTTTGCTCAACAACAGTGCACGTAATCAAAGAAGATAGAACTAAATTTTGACACAAAGTTCGCCATGTCTATAAGAATGTGTGGGTTATATTGCTGCAGGGTTCTCCGAGGTATGCAAACAGGGTATGACTTAGTTATAGGACTTCATAAATCTACATGGGAATAGAAGCGCCCCACTCAAGTAATAAAGGTGTCCCTTGGCATAAGTCCAGGAAGGGTAAATATTCTCGTGTCCTAAGCCTAACACTAATCCTAAAGTAAACCCAAACGGCAACACTAATATTAACCTTAATCCTATAGTTAACACTAACCCTAACCTTTGCATTCAATTTAAACGCAACTTACTTTACTGCTAAAGTTAACTTTAACACTAAACCTAACCCTATTTTCCGTGGAATGCGGCGCAACGACGCCTGTATTGCGGGCGTTTCATATTCTCCTGTCCTGTATGGTGGGGCCATAGAAATCACCCTTCCTTTTAAATTAATTGTCTATCAGACTTTAGAGTTGAAACAATTGTCCAGTTGGCATGCCCTTAAAAGCATTAATGTTACGTGACCTGACAAATGTGTGGAGGAAATGTGAGCGCAGGGGAACGAATTTTACTCAGCTGGTTCTTCGAACACCACCATTTCGTAATTTTACTGGTTTTGACTATGCTAAAAACGTAGGCACATTTAGTTAAACCAGGTGCTCCGAGTTATGGGAGCTAATGCGTCGCGGATGGATGTATTCAGATTTATACAAATGCTGCACTAATGCTTGATATTATCTGCAAATCTGCACATCGCATTTAACTGCATGTCGGTAGTCGGAAAAAGTTCAGTTACCGTACCCCTTCATGCATAGAAATCATCCTTCCTTTTAAATTAAGTATTTAGCAAACTTTTAAGGATACCATTTTAACTGGATAGTTGCCTTCGATGTAAAACTGGAAAAAGTGAGGTATGGCCCAAGTTGGTTTAAAGTCCACAGGATCATTTTTAGCTCGACCGTGTCGCAGTCAGGGCGGGGAGGTGAAATCGATAGACAGAGATTCGGCAGTGTGTGTGCAAAGCTTTAATTTATTCAGAGATTATTGCACCCATTACACGAATGGCAGCACCATTAACTAGCACTTAGACATCAGTATGTAATAGTTCTCTGTACTTTTGCACTTCGCCTAGGGCTATTCTGGGCAAGTTTTTCCAAACCTGCACAGAACTATGCAACTTCACCTATCCCTGCAAGTATCGCATGCCATATTCGACGCCCATAAGCGTGGGTGCAACGTGCGATTATTTAGTGACTATCCAGGAACGACCGCGGACGGGCGCAGACATGCAGC